CCTAAAATACGTTATCAAGCTTCATGAGAAATTCTCAAGTGTTACGAGCAACACTTGCCAAATTACCCTGGGGGCCATAAACACGTTCTTTGAAAACATAGCACACGTACATAAACGTACAGTGTGCTCAACTTGGCCTGAATTTACCAATTAGTCGCGAGTTGAAACAAGGTAAGGATAAAGCATGAGGCCTGTTCACATTGGTGGACAGGAAGAAGGATCAGGCTGAAGATCCCCAGGACTATGTATCGCACACACTGTGTATGTTCGCATGGTTGCTTTTACAGGAAATCCTCACAGTGATTAGCAGCAGGGAAGACAGTGCATAGTATCTGAAGCTTATGAGTGGACTTGTTATCTTTCGTAGTGGGTAGTCTTCGACAACACTTTTCTCGCGCAAGCTGCAGAACCAACGGAGTTTCGTGAATAACGTATTAAGTCGTGAAATAATCATGTTATGAAGTGTGGTGTATAATGAACATAACACTAACGGCCTTAAGTTTTGTTGTGAAACAATCAAAATATAGTCGTACTGGTCGTACACTTGCGTTAAACCGTAAATAAAGCGTGGAGAATGTTGAATACTGATGTTGTAGTTTTATTGTGAAGTGTTGTTAGTGCAGTGGTACCACTTAACGGCGTTGTGAAATAATCGTATTGAAATTATTTCTGAAACTGCTCTGACCGATTGTTTCAGAAACTATATAATGCTAGGAGATAAAACTTTTAATCGCTTATTTGTTAGATACGATTTTATAAACTTTGGGGTAAACTACCACTGTTTTGGATTGTAACATTCAAACAGTTTGATACTTTTTTTTCTTCTTAAAATTAACAGTGTATTATCTAGTATATACCTTCATTTATCAGTTTTTTTGTTGTTTTCTGTACAAAACAGATGCCAAATCATGTTTGTATTTCCAGTAAATAATTATACGAATGGACATATTCAGAATTCTTCAAAACGTGTAGTTACCGTTAATTTATTTGTGATACAACGTAAGTGCGAGGAAAACTAAGATATTATTCTACGGTTGAACGAGATCTGTGACTGACTCATGCCGTTGTGTAGTGGCTTGTTTATTCACCGTCATCTTCGGAAAAATGGAGGTTTGTGTTGGAGATGAGTGATGCATCACACAACTCTCAATCTCTCTTTTTTTTATCTCTCCTGGAACTGTTGTATTACTATTAAGAAATAACTGTTAGTGTTAGATATGTCTGAAGATTTTGAAGAGATTTAGAAAAAAACTATTTTATTTCATAGCTAAATGTTTGTGGGCAAAGAAAGAAACTTGCTTTATTTTCTTATTATTAACTTTTTTGAGGAATAAGAGTAGGATTGCATGAAATTTACACTTGATACAGGAATCTGGTGAATTCATAAGGTCATTTAATACACACAGCTTAGTTTTTACAATATCTTAAGGTTGTTTTGTAAGAGACTTCAAACAAAGTATATTTGCATGAATATAACAGAACAATTATACTGAAAATAAGTAACACAACTGGTGTATTTACAAGTAGAAGTTATTGATGTGGAACTGTACTATTTTAACTGTTTGAGGGTTTCAGGAAAAACATTAATCATAAACCAAGGATGTGTTCCTTGAATTATGCTACCAGCTCTACTATTGGTATAACTTTTGGTTTTTGTGAAGTAGCTATATGTAGGAATATTGCCATTTGGCTCTTATTTTAATTGCTAGAAAATTGATACATGTGTGATTAAAATCAATCGTATTTTTCTTGTAATTTTGTATTAAAAAGTTACTTTTATAGTAAATCTTTGAGAAGATGAGCCAAAATTACTTCTAATCATACTAACTTATAATTGTTTAATCAAAGACAAATCTTGTAATAATGGTTTATGTCAGTATCATGTGCTGTTTGTGATGTAATGGATATAGGATATTAAACTGCAGTTATAAAGGATGAACAAAATTGTTGAGTTTTAGTTTGAAGTATCGAAGAGGTAAAAGATTTAATGAAGAGATGTTTAGGAGAGCAACTGGTTATCAGTATGTTGGCAAGCATTCAAAACTTCAATAATAGTATTGGAATAAAGTGTGTCATAAAAGTACTTGTTAGTTGATTCAACTTTTCTAACCCACACCTGTTTTTCAGGTTTCTCTACTTGATCAAAGAGTAAGTTAATCTTGTAGATACTATAAAAATTTTATGTTTACGTTGGTAGTATTATTATATGTTTTTTGTTTTCTGAATCTGGAAGTAGGTTGAATCTAAGACTTTAGAATAGAAGTTCCTTCTATTGAGATCATTATAAGATATGGGCTGAAGATCTGTTTTAAAATTGAATTTTGAAGGTTATATTATTAGGTATTGACCATTGTGGTTTACTCTATGTGTAACTGGTAATGCCTTTCATCTCCAATATTTTGCGATGCTGAGATTTGACGGTGGAACTTGGATTTAAAGATTAGTTGGTTCTTTGATATGCATTAAAATACTGTTTACCATCATATATCCAAGAATAATATTTTAAGTAGGATGAAAGTAAATAATGATTGAAAACATAGAAATTCTCAAGCTTGTTAAAGATCAAAACTATGTTTATAGGCTATATAAATGTCTGAAGAAATATGACCCGAGCTTTTCATGTAAAATAATTACAGTTTTTAATTCTTGAAACTTCAGGGAGTAGCATTTCTCAGATATATATATATATATATATATATTTATTCTTTTTTAATATGTTGTAATGCTCTGTTTTGTCAGTTTTACTTGCAAGTATTGTTTATCACAAAAGCTGATAGCCTTTATAGTTGCATTTTTAGAAATCAGTGTAATGACCTCTAGCCTTTAATTATGAGACTATTATAACTGAAAGAATAGTTGATTTCAACAAAGCTTTTTTTTTTCAATGTTTTACTCCAGCAATTTCATCACAAATCAAGACATATCTGAAAGTATAAACTGTAGTATAGATCTGGTCTTTGTATCCAATAGAGATATAAAAGTTTAGAATATTTTCTTTTTTTTCCCAAAAGTCTTTAGTCATGGTGATAGAATACAGGGACATTTGATATTTCAATCAAGAAAAACTTGTTTAGGTGATCAGAAATGACATCCATCTGTACATTAGCAACTAAAATCTTTTACAAACCTAAAGAGATAATGCAAGATAAAGTATGTGATGTATTAAAAACACAGACAATGAAACAGTCTTGGAGCAGTGTTGATGTATAGAGCTCACAGGAATAGTTAAGAAATATGAGTGTATTCCACTATTAAAAATTCTTGTAGTTTTTCTTAGTGAACAGTCTAGTTTAACATGTAATTTCCAATTATTTTGAATGCACTAAACAATAACTGCAAGTGTGTAATTTGTTGTTTATTTGCATTTACTGAGTGTATGTTATTTTAACAATATTTAAAGATAAAGTTCAGCTTTATTACATCTGTAGTACTAGGAACTTTTTTAAGGTACAGCTTGATGGTCTTTAGGGATCCAATGAGTTAGGTTTTTATTAATTATTTAAAGAACAAATGAAATTATAAAATTCTCAGTCTGTTTTTTTAATACATAATATTTTTTCTTTATAAAAGTGGTTGTCTAGGTGTTTGTATATTCAAAACAAACAAAAAAGCAAATATACATTTAAGTTCCTACAATTGTATTGTAACTTAACTTTGACTATGATATGTAACAACTGTGGCGTACACTGAAGGAGGAAAACTTCTGATAAAGAAATATCTGCAGAAGCTATTCCTTCCTTAAATCTAAGTTATTGTTCTTAAGAACTTTAAAAATAACTACTCTATAAAACAACATATCACTGGTAAACACTAGTACAGTGGTGTGATTAGCTCTCTGAAACTTTACCAAACATGTTTATCTCTGTGTGGGAACTTTATATATCTATAAAACAACATATCACAGGTAAACCCTAGTATAGTGGCGAGATTATCTCTCTGAAACTTTACCAAACATGTTTATCTCTGTGTGGGAACTCTATCTCCATACACATGTTCATATCCCCATTGCCAACAACTTATCCACATAGGTCATAATTACAGTTTCACTCTAACCACAATCAAGGTCAGTATCTTGTGTTTTCAGGGAAGATAATTTCCCTTATGATAAGGAGCTAAAACCATTTACGTGCAATGCAGTAGTGATAGAGCAGTTACTGTAAACACTGTTGTGCTCCTACCCTTTACCAGACAAAGCAAGATGGACTTTTACCATAATTAATGAATCACACAGGTAATTTTTAAAACAGTTTTATTAATATCCACTGAGAGTTAAGAAAATTTTTACAGTAAGACTGAGAAATATTTGTCTCATAAACTTATCATTTTCCTTAAGTTTTAAAATCAGTTGTATATAATATCAGGTGAAACAGGAATTAAAACATAATAGGTTGTTGATACATCTCTGAATGTTGCATTATTTTGTATTTTTTTGATTAATGGGTTTTTAGTTGGCTGAAATTGTCAGATTTTGTTATTGAAATATCTGATTAACCTTGGCAATAAGTCATTTATGCATTATTTGAATGTCATACAAGCCTAGTGTAAAAATGCTAATATGTAGTTGTATTTATCTAAGCTTATGAAGCTGAGTTATTTTTTCCCCATTAAAACCAAATCATCCATCACCATGGTAACTTGGTTTGATTTTAACAATTTGTGTAACTCATGTTTTTCCACTCTTGCTAAATTTATCATGTTTCACAATTGTATTTCACCCATTTTATAAGTTTTGCTACTGACAGATTATAGATGAAGAAGAATGAAGAGCAATTTTTCCATCTTCTATTTCAATTTATCATAATGTATTTAAAATGTAAGAAAATGGATAAAACCTCTTTGTAGCTTATTTTTGCATTTACCAGGTAACTTTAAAAAAAAATGAAATAGAAATAAATGTCTTCAAACCTGAGTATATTATATAATACAAAGAAACTGAATGTTACAAAATAAGGTGTATGTTCTTTTGATCTCTTATGAATATAGTTTTTTAATCTTTACAGGGTACCTAACCAGAGATCTCCGCCAGTACCTGAACACCCGTTTTCAGAAAGGTTCTGTAGATCATGATCTTCAGAACACCATCAGAGACAATCTCTACCTCCGTACAGTACCTTGTACGTGTTATGCTCTTTTCTATATATATGTGTATGTGTAGGTTATGCTTTACTTGTTATACTTTTGTTAGAAGACTAATTGAAATACCTTCACTTTCAAACATACTTTGCCAACCTTTCTCTATTTTCCAGCTCTTTTGAGAACACTAAGAATTGAATAGTTTAGTCTGTCTCGATGAAAATTAATTGATGTAGTTTTGTAAATGTGAATGTTAAGAAAGTTTCTTTTTTTCAAATAAAGTTTCTGTGTGAGAAGGTTTATTTTCTGACACACTGTGGTTCCTGGTTTACCATTAAACATTTTAAATTTTGTACCTTCTAACTTTATGATCTTATAATTTGGTTTCTATTATCACACACACACATATACACAGAGAGAGAGAGAGAGAATGACATAAAAATGTATATATTCAAACCTGAGTGTATTATAATATAAAGAAATAGAATGTGTGATTGTAAAATTACAAAATAAGGTATTTTGTAATTAGCTACCTGAATTTGTTGTTAATATTTCTTTACAGAATTTTAAACTTAGCAGATAGGAGTTTTGACATAGTATATTTGTCTTGGTATAAAACCTGACCTTAGGTAGTTGTTATGATTCATTATTTTAGTGTTTTTCAATGAATTTTATAGTTATATGGAATCAGTTTGTTTTGGGGTGTTTCTTCTTTTAGTTAAATTATGAAATAAGTTGTTCTCTAAATATGCATAAGAAAAGGCAAATTTTAATTGTAGTGTTTTCTTTAACAACACTGCTTTCTTCATTTTACTAATGTTGTAATATCATTAAATAAGTTAGTGTGTTATTAGTCATAGTAAATATGTCAGATTTGACTGTTATTTTATATTATCTTGTTTGTTTAAATCTACATTTCCTTTAAATACTTCTGTAAGACATACAGATAAATACTGATGTGAAATTATAACATTGAATCCACTTGCCGTTCTTCTTAGTTTATAATTTATTTTCGTTATGGGTAGAGTTCTTTATTTGCTTAGATTTCAAAATGGCATTTGAGACTGTATTAATCTAGTAACAGTTAACTTGACCCAATAATTTTTATTTAAAAATATTTTAAGTTTTATAATGGAAATTTCTGGGAAGTCTAGGAAGACTTGACTTGTACATATTCAGTGTTTGTCATAAGGAGTGAAAATTAGCTTGTAATTATATAAAACAAAAACTTCCCAATGACTTTTTTTTCCATAAATGAATTGAAATGGTGAACACTTTGTGTAAATACAGTTTAGTGTACAACTTTATGTAGATTTAATTATTTATTTTTTGAAGTTCCCTATCAAATAGCTTCATCAAATTAACATTCAGAGGATTTTGGAAAATTTATACTTAAATGGTTGATAACTATTGTAGTCCCACTCCTTGTGTTGCTGTTTTTTGTGTGTTTAAGTTTTTTGATTTCACAATGAATTTGTTGATCAAACAAGAAGATGGATCAGTGGGGAGCTCAATATGTCTTATATGGGGCAGGGCAGAATAAATCCGTTAAGGACTCTGTCAGCATGTTTAAGTACAGTGGGTAATGGCAACTTCAATGAATTTTTATTGGTTATTATAAAGCTGTAGGATTATTTATGTAATTTTCTCAGAAACTTTTGTTTAAAGTAAAGGACTCTGAATCCTTATAATTGTTATTATGTTTAAAGTAGATCTTAACTTCAAGTTTTTGTTCCTTCAATGTAGGCACTACAAGACCTCCAAGGCCAGGAGAAGTTAATGGAATAGATTATACATTCCTTACACCTGAAGAATTCATTGCCCTAGAGAAAAGTGGAAATTTATTAGAAAGTGGAATTTATGATGGTAAGTCCAGGTGAAGTGTTGCTTGGTTTTTTTAATTATTATTCTTGGTTTATTCCTATATGCTGTGGTATGTAAAAAAAAATGTTATTATTAATATGGTATGCTGAATTGGCTCTTGTTAAAATAATATTATGAATACCGAGATCTTACAAGAAACAGCCTGAATGTCTAAAATGTAAGTTACTGTATTAGGTTTAAAACAAAATATTTTTAATTATAGTTAGTTGGAGGAAAAAATATTGGTTGTAGACATTCCTGGAAACTCTTCAGATTTGACCTACAATATTTGGAGATTACCGTGCCAGATCTCCATTGTCTTGTACATGATTTTTCAGCAAAGTAGTTAGCTGCTTCTCTGCAGTGAACGTGATGCCACTATGCATATTTCTTGCTTCTGACTTTTTTATTAATGTAATTCAATATCTTATTACTTGCATTTTAATCATTTACCCAATGATATGTAGAAACTTTGACTGGACAGCTCACCCAATGAAAATTAAGTAAAATGTAATTAGATATCTTACAAGTGAAATAAGTTTTAATTTCAATATTTACATAACTTTCTCATTCAGATTTTTGAATATGTACAAGTATTTTTTTTTATTTCAAAACTTCAGTAATGCTAAATAATCTAATTAAAAGTTCTTAAGTATTAATGAAGATCTTATGATTGAGCATTTGAAATTCTGAATTAGCAATGTACCATTTAAGTGTTTTTAAATATCTCTGGATCAGCCAAATCTACATTTTCTCCGGTGTGGCTGTAGGTAAAGAAAAAAATTGTATATGCATATTTTAAGTTGTAAATTTCCTTGTATTGATGGATATGCCCCTTCTAAGTACAATAAAAAGAAAGTCCTGTCATGGTTAAATACATTCAAAGTAATTAGAAATCATTATTTTGCTAGTCTGACTTTAAATAGAGTAAATTCAGAATTTTGTTCATTTTGGTATTGTTGATACATACCTATTAAGTTATTGTTTTTGGAGCATAAGTTCCAAAATATTAATTTTTGTTGTATTAAACATTTTCAGAAAAACTAATATTTTTATTCATAACATTAAGTAAATTAATAGTACATTTTTAAGCATGGCATTTTAAGTGAGTTAGTACTTTCTGGGCATAATGTTTTGATTAAGTTAATAGTATTGATATTATTAAAGCCTAACATATTTAGAAGATAGTATTTTTATATTATAGAAATATCTGTAAAATAATAGATACTCTAGAATGTAAACTTGGTACTTTGGAGCATAACTTGATGCAGTTAGATAATGTGTTGGAGCAGCAAGAGTTCATGAAGTTACTATTTGTAGAGCATAGCATATCTAGTATGTTTGTATTTATGCATAGTGTTGTCTGACATAACAGTGCCTTTGTAATAAACTAATAAAAGAAAACTTCCCAGCAAAGTTTTTTCCATCTAAGTAATATTTTATTTACCCTAAGCCATTAATAAAAGATCTCTTGGAAATTACATATGATCAGCATTTCTGCAGGCTGTACTTTGTTGGCTCCTGGTTAAGAATGTTAATCAGAAACTTAATTCTTATACTTTATATGTTTGATTTTCTAATTCAAAAACTTTCTTAAAAAGTTGAACATTTTTGCCATCACTAATTATGAGAATAGCTCTTAATGGTTTGACAGTTGAATTCCATGTTTTTATTCAGCAGTTACTTGTTGCAGTATGTTATAGTTGGTGTGAAGAAACCTTTAAGAGAAAAGAAAATCAAATACATAATATCATTGTGAACACAGCTTTTTTTTATGAGCATGTTGGGTTTCTGCTTTGTTTACATGTAAAATTTTTATTTAATGTTCTGAAGACTAATGAATAGAGGAGTATAAATAAATTCTTCCATATACTTCAATGGCCATAACTTTTGAACTGTTATCTCTTTTCGTCTCTCATTAATAACTATTTTTATCAGTAAAAAGAGATTTAAGTTTCATCCCTGTAAAATACATCTGTCTTTTTTTCTGTTTTGCAGATCTTACCATTTACAACTGTACAGTTGAGGATATGTTGTTAACTATATAGAATAAAATTGCTCAATTATTCTCTCTCTTTATTTAATCATCTCTTAAATCAACTAACCTGTGTTCTCTTTTAGGGAAGCATTATGGCACTCCTAAGCCAGCTCCCTCAGCTTCTGCTCTCTTTTCTGACTCTTCTCTTCGGATTGACCATCCTGTGGCACGTGAGGATTCTTTCACTTGTGTGTCTGATAACTCTGTTTCTGTTAATGTTATGTCTAGTTGTGATTGCTTTAGTGATGTGTTGTTCAATGATGTTAATAGGTTTAGGAATGATTTTCAGTCTTTTAGCAAAAAGGGTGAAGAGAAAGATGGCTATGGTAAAAAATTTGAGGACTATAGTCATAATGTTATCAAAGACATAATTGAAGTAGTTAATAATCCTGTAAATGAAAGTTTTCATACTGAACAAAATCATTATGTACACACAGAAGAAAATGTTCATTATAAGGAAGAGTGCAAAAAAAATGAAAATAATTGCCAAGAAGACTTTACATATCAGGAACAGTTACCACTTAACAAGGAGCCACACATGCCATCTGTAAGAACAATGAAAAATGTAAAACACCAGTCTGAAAACATGCGTCAAATGGCAAATGCAGATGAAAAGTTATTTGCCAAAAATAAGGAATCACATGTCAGATTTGTGGAACAAAATAAATCTGAAATCACAAATCTAAATTCAGTTGATATGTTTTTATCATCAAGAAAGGCTTCTTATGTATCTCAACATGAAAAAAATATAGTTGATTATAATACTGATCGGTCAACTTCAGATGCCCAACAAAAAAAAAATCTGCACGAAATCCTAAAATATAGAGTAGATTTAACAAGTTACACTAGTCCTAAGCTTAATGAAGAAAATAATTATAAGTGGAGTTCAGTTTGTGACCAGAAAGAACTTGTTAAATGTTCTCAGGTAGATTTTTCAAATTTTATTAATAACACAGATAATAATATGAATCCTGTAATAACTGAAAACAAACCCCATGGTTTATATCAACATTCAACCAAAGACTTTTCTGTTGCTACCCCAGCTCCTTGGTTTCATTATCCTGCTTTTCCAGTTGTTGCAGTCCCACCCATGTCAGTACCTCCATTTACTGTGGCATCCCCTTTTTATGTATGGAAGCAACAAAGTCCTCTTGCTTCTAGTGAGATTTGTCTCAGACAAAGGCATAAACATTTGAAGAATCATAATAACTCTAGTTTTAGTTCAGGTAGTAGTTCTGAAAGTATCAAATTAATCAGAACTCGTTCCATATCCACAAAACATGGAAATAATAAATATTATCCTAGAAACTTTCCTACTCGTACTCGGTCAGTAGATAAGGTTATTTGGCAACATTATAATGTTAAGAATCAATCAAAGTATTTGTATAGGTGTCATTCAAGAGCTAAATCAAGTAAAGCAAACAAGAGTTCCAATAAATTTAACAGTGAACAAAATCAAAACTGTTTTCAGCAAGACTTGAAAGATGGAAATGAGGCTAGTAGTGAGTCAGAAAGTGTAGATTCTTGTTCTTTATCCATATCACACAACAGTTCAATTCAGCCTAAGATTAAAAATGTATATAACAGAAAATACAAAAAATACACATAAAAATAAAAAAAATCTGGATATGAAAAAAAACATTTTATTTTCTGGTGTAAGTAGATCCAAAGAAAAGGTTTGTGGTTTAATGACTTCTCTAAATTCTTTACCTCCTAGAGCTTCTGTGAATGTCCATAACTGTGACAATGGTGTTGCTTTTGTCTTGTCAGGCAATCATTATGGCACTCCCAAACCCCCCAGAGAGAGTCCCATGTCTATGCCACGACGAACAAATTCCATCGGAAATACTGGCAGTGTTGTTCTTCCTGGTGCACACCCTTCTTCTGAAGGAAAGAGACGACGAAATCGTTCTAATGTAGAAGCGATGGCAGCCAAAAACATGGATCCCATAGAAGCAGCAGATTATCCTCTCTTATCAAATCAGAATGCGAGGTTTGTTTATATTTATTTCAATATATAGTCAATAAGATTTTGAAAGTGACTGCTCACTTGTAGTAGTATTTTTTATTTTGTTTTAGATCCCTTCTGTAACTTATCATAGTGTTGTAGGTATGAATTATTAATTTAATCCATTTTATTAACTAATAGAGAAAGCTTTATTTGTAACAGTATTCAAATGAAATGATTGGTTGGATAAAGTTAAAGTTTAATGTTAATATTGCATAAAATGTTGATTACAATGTTTTAGAATAAAAGTTAAAAATAGGACTGGATATTTTTTTGTTATGCAATCAGAAATCTAAGGAGTAACAATTGGCTATAATGGGTTAGTGTTCTTTGTACATGACAACGTTACAAAAACTTTTCAAATTTTTAAAAGATATTTTTAAAAATTTAGAATAAAAGTACGACTTTTTAAAATTTCTTTATTAGAAATTTTCCAAAACTTTTCCAATATTCAGTAGCTTTCTACTCTGTGATCTGTTTTTCAGCAGTTCAAGTTATCATTTGTTTTAATAGATCATCTACACCTCAATCTTCAAAAAGTGGATACAGAAACTCCAGTAACATGGATCATAATGATTCTGTAACTGATCTTGGTCCTCTACCTGACAACTGGGAAAAGGCCTATACAGAAACTGGAGAAATATATTTTATAGAGTAGGTGTTCTGAAAAAATAGGACATTCTTCAGTTGTTGATAGTATTTCAAACCTTCATAGTAACTATTTCAAAATGCAGAGGCCTCATGACTTAACTTACAATCTGATTCCTAGTCTGGAAACTAATTTTTTCTTACAAATGAGATCTTCTTTTTGTTTCTTGAATCCAGAGTATTCTGTTGTTTGTTTTTTTTTAATAAAATTCTTCATTTTATTTTATAATATTGCAAAAATAAATCAGACATAAAAGACTTGGATACATTTTGATTAACAATATAGTGACACAGATTGAATCACAAGTATTTTAAAAAATCTGATTTTTCTTCTTTTTTTTTCTGTGTTGTGGAGAAATCCACTACAGAATTTTGTCCTCAGAGTGATTGGAGCAGTAAATGTGAATAAAGTTTTTGTTCTTTTCACTTTCATACAGTCTGAATATATGGATTTAAACATTTTTTCTATCCTTAACTTGTATTTGTATTCTACATCTGTTAGCATTCTTGTGTAGATTTAAACTATTCAAATTAGGAATGAGATTTAGTTCTGCTTAGATGCTTTATATTCTTTTCAGGATTGTTTTTTATGGTGAGTTAATATGTTTTATAGTCACAACCATGGCACATCTCAGTGGTTAGACCCTCGGTTAGCTAGAATACAAAAGACAGCTATTGAAGAATGTGACGAAGATGGTGAGTTGTATTTATGGATGTGTCATCTAAAGTACAAAGCACAAGTAGTAAAATGTAAAGATATTTTCATGTAAACTGTTGTAAATTGGGGCTGGGTCATTTTGACTGACCTTGTAACCATGAAACTACACACAACTTAGAATGTAATAAGTGTATCTTCATAAAATTTGGGAAGGTTTTAGTAAAAATTACAGTTCTATTGTACACACAATCAGATTTTGTCATAAAGTATTTTTACTAAAGATTTACCTGTGAAGTTACAAAGCCTTTAATAAGTCAATCTGAGAGAAAGGTGATTTTCATGCAAAGAATTGAAATACTTTTTTTCATCTTAAAAGTTTTCATATCTCATTGGAATAAATTAGAACCTCCTAAATGAATATCATTAGGCTTTTTTTTCTGGTAAAACTTTATACTTTTTCTCTTTTTCGCATTTACCCTAACATTAACTGTAGTGAAAGTTAATGAAATGAAATAAAATCAAAAAATCTTTTTTTTGCTTGAAGTCTGCAGATTGTAATAGACAATTACAATTATTTATCTTAAGAGCTATAAGCCTCTTAACTTTTCACAACTGCTTTCATTTAATTTTATTGTTTTATTTCTCTTTCAACCATGTATAACTACCATGACAAGCAATAAATGACTGGGTTGTATAATAAGTAAATATGCAAGTCAAATTGCATTATGCACATCTAACTGAGTACCATGTTTCTTGTGCATTACTTAGGCTGATGTTGAAAACATTTTTAATTTTTTGTTTAGGTATTCTTATCCAACCTAATAACTTTTAATTTTCACATTTTAATTATTTTTTTTTAAAAAAGTATATAAGAATGAAAAAAAAATGCAGAAAAAAAAGGAATTTAGAACTTACCCTAGTTCTAGGCTGGTTTATATTTGAGTTCGCTGGTTTCGTAAGCCTTGTTTTTTTTTAACTGTGTTGGTTGTCTAAAAAATAATTCCTATGGTTTTCAGGAATGAATTTTAGAAAACCAAAACATATCACTCATGTGATTAGATTATATGATGACCACTGTAATTCATTGGACTTTCTAACTAATCTATAAGTTGGATTTAAATATTTAAAGAATTCCATTACTGTTCAGAGCAGTAATTTGACTCAACACTCATTAAGTTTTTCTCACAAATTATTGTATTTGTCCACTAAAATTATACAAAGGAACATAAGATTCCTGTACATTTTAGCATGTTCTTGTTGTTGTTTATAAGCATGACCATTAGCAGTATCAAAGAGAATTATAGACATATCTTAAAAGACAGAGGATATGAGAGGGGTATGTCAATGTGAGTTGAACAAATATAGTGATATCTTGGTAAAGCAAGAAAAATAAGAGATTGAAAATTTATATTTTATTTTGTCAGTATGTATAGAAAATGTTTCTGATTGCTTGAATAATCTGTAGAGAAAAATGTCAATAAATGAGAAATCATAGCCTCACCAATTCATGTGATTATGATTATTACAGATTGGGAATGTATTTAAATTTATTTTTTAAGATAAGAAATTGAAAGTTAGATAATATAAGAATATAGATTATAAATTGTTTTGATGCCAAGATTATTTATATACAATGATAATAAAGTTGTTTAATTAAATTTTGAATGTAACTCTAAAAACATTGTGACAGTGCACTTTGACCTTCCTGAATTTAGAGTTAACTATAGAATCTAAAATCCTTATATATTTCAAAACCCAGTTAAAAGATCGGTAAAATAAAACTTATCTGTACTTAACAGAATGTTAAGTCATGAGTTATAATTCAACTGAAGTAAAAACTAACTTTGTAAAGATTTTTTTTCATTGTCATTTTGCAGGGGGTACAAAAGTGAATAAGTAGAAACTTTCATCTGTAAGAATTGTTTATTAGAGCATCTCCATAAACAATGTTTGTTATAGTTTTGCCTTTTTAAAATTGAGTTGCTTATTTTGGTCAGGTTTGAGTTTTAAAAAATGCATCAGTTGAAAGCAGTTTTCCCCATTAGAGTTTTACAGTACTATGACAAATTGTTTGATGGAAGCTGTACTGAGGTAGTTGTTCCAAGTCCTGTAAAAAGTATAAATACGATACTTCATGTTAAAGAGGGTTTATAAGTCATTTTAAATTAATTTGTATGCTTATATGAACATTGAAGATATTTTGGATGTTTAGATGTCCTTCAAGTGTTGTGTAATTGTTCTATTTAAATTGACATTTAGTTAAAAACAAACTAGGTTATAAAATGCAAGCATAATTATCAAGTGATGAAACATAATATTTTGTAAAAATTCAATTTCAGTTAGAATTTCTATGAAGTAATATGGAAATCACTGTTTACTAAATTTTCTAATGGATGGTGGTATAAGAAAATTCATTAACTTATTAGACTAATTATATTAATAAAAGTTATCGTTAAGTTATTTGTAGAAGTAAATACTTGTGGATGTTGGGTGTATTTGAATGAAAGGGCAATATACAATATCAAAAGTTATATTTAGAAAGTATTTGTAAGATATGAGGGTAAGTATGTTTAAAACAATTTAATTAATTTATTTTAATCTTGCAGAACTTCCTTATGGTTGGGAAAAAATTGATGACCCCCACTATGGAACCTACTTTATAGAGTAAGTAGAACACATATTTAAGAGTTTTCAACAATATGATGTTAACATAAAGAATTTTCATTATTATTTAGAATTTCTGATATTTCACAGGTAGAACATCCTAAAAACATTGACAACGTAGAAGACATTTTTAGAAGAAATTGTTTTTATAAAGATTAAATAACATTTATAGTAATCAGTATGTAGACTTAGTGATATTATTAGAAACTTTCAATTTATATTGAGCATTAAAAGACATAGATAAAATACCTGAGAAATAGGGATAGAAATATTTTCATTTACATAGGATTTTAAAATTCAGAGACAATACAGTTAAGAAATATGGTATTTTTTTATTTTATATTGAGAGTAAGAAAAATATCTTAGAAATATTTGATAATACTATAATTCCTATATTTAATTAGAATTAAAACCCATAACCAACATTTGTAAGAAACATAATTTTATCTAAATCTCATTTGATATACAATGTTAAAATACACAGCCAAAATTTTCAAAAAATGTAATGTTCTAAATCTTTCATTTTTGCAGAGTAGTTTAAATTGGTAATTGCATGTTCCCCAAGTGATTTACAGTTTATAATGGTGCAAATAGTAGTTAGTCATGGTTCAAAGGGCAATAAAATTTAATTATAAATAGATGTATACTGTTAAGAGTTTAAAGCTACTTAGAATAAACAACTGTAGTTTCATGTTATGTTTGAAGTCATTCTAGAAAGAAAAAAGGGTAATTGTTTTTGTGGCTACGAGGTGGACCAAACCAACCATGTATAGAGTTAGGGTAGAGAAAGTAACAGATAAAATATAAAGTTTTACTGAAAACAAACATTTGAAATGTATTTAGGAGATTTTAGAGATTACACAAATGAAATGTGAGGTTTTTGAGATAAAAAAGTATTTGCACACAGAGTTATTCAAAACAAATACCCGATATATTCAAGAACAATTCTATTTTTAGTTTATTAAAAATACTTCACTAAAAATATGATTTTCATGAAGACATACTTCTTATTAGTTAGTAGTATAAAATCTATAAAGACTTTGAATGAGTACAAAGAGGTCACATGGGCAGTCAAATTGACCGAGCCTGTGTTGAGAGAGTTAACATACATACACATAGTTGTGATAACGTAGGATTTTTGCCATATAACTTAATATTGGTCATTAATAACAGTTAAATACCCTATTTCAGTATTTACTTCAATACAAGTAATCAGCAAACTGCTTAAATTTTATTATTCTTACTTACATTTTAATACTGTACAGATATTCAGTGTATCTGTTATTTAACAATAAAAGAATATGATATTGTGCATAACAGTTAAAAAGCTAGTAACAAACTGCAGTAAGTGGAACAAACTAACAGAAAACTTAAAATTAGAATAACTGGTTTTGATATATTTGTGTGCCATCTTCACGCTCATGTTGTCTTCATTATTCCTGTTGTACTATTGTTCTTGAAGACAATGTGAGATTGAAGAGAATGTATGAATTTGTCAAAACTAGTTTCTCCAGTATCAAGTCTTCTTCCAGTTTGTTCCATTTACTATGTTTTCTCATTAGCTTTTTATCTGGTATTTGCCCTTTTATGTAGAAATACTAATACATGTTTTTAATATTTTACACTTGTTGCATTTTTATTATTAACATTAACTTGTAATCTCTACACAAAGTTATTTTGTAATTTCTATCTGTATTTATGAATTATGTTTCTTTACAGTCATGTAAATAGAAGAACACAGTATGAAAACCCAGTTTTACAGGCAAAACGTGGGACAAATGATGGTTAGTATCATTAATGAACCTAAAAAATTTCAATTATTAGATTAGTTGCAGTATGCTACTTAAATATTGCTTATTTAGCAATATGTGCGATAATATATAATTTCTTACCAGATATTTTGTAAACTGATTTCGATAAAATTTTTAGTATGATGTTGTTTTAAATAGTTTTTGAAGTTAAAATTTATAAACATTTTGATTAGCTTACTCTTAGTTATACTGAATAGCACATGTAACATAATTTTGTTGTTTTAAAAAAAAATTCACTTCAGGTTATTCCTATGAAATATTCTGAATAGAAATAAGTATGGTGTGAGAAATTCATGTACAGTGATTGAAACTTTGGCTGATTAAATAACAGACAAAAGTAATTAAATTACTGTTAGACTGTCTATAGCAGAAATGAAAGTATTTAGTGTAGAAATATTTTAGCTTTATCCAAAAGTTATTAACTAATGCAAAAGGTTGGTATGTATTTGCTTAATCTTTTCAAGAAAGTTTTAGTTCAGAAAAAATTAACAATATATCATGAGAGTAAGTTTACTGTGAACAGTAAACTACTGGAATGTAAGTCACCATTTACAGTCACTCATTTATTCTTATCATCAAACTGTTATCATATTGGAACCTGAAAATCGTAAAGGTTTGTTATTTTTTTTAAATTCACCCCATATTCCCAACAATAAGAAAGAGGGAACCAACTTATTTTTTCAATAAGCTACTTGTGTACATGTTTTGTTCAAGCCGTTGTTTCCAAGAAACATTGCGTGGTAAGATAATGTTCAAGTTAATTGCTGGGAAATGAGGTGAAAGATTTACCTTAAACATTAATATTGTTCTTTTGTCTTTAGTATCCAAGAATTTGTCAGATGAAAGGTCACTGTTTGTCTTAGTACTGATGAACTAACTAGACATACAGAATAATGCTTGGAGACAGCTTGAATGGGTAATGAAGAAAAACTTTAATATTAGTTTAACATAACAGCAAATGTAAAATGTTTCAACAACATTTTGTCATCATCAGGTATAAGTAGTTTACACTGACACAGATATATATATATATATACAGTATGGAACAAAGAGGTCACATAACTGGATATTATTGCACAACTTAGAAGAGATATATTGGCATCCCAGGGTGTTGGTTTAAAGTAGGGTTGTTTTGTTCTATTAAGATGGATTCCTTGATTTTTAGTTTGTTTATGTTTGGCTTTTTGATTAAAATTACTGTGTTTTCAATAGATATACTATGTTTTTTTGAGTTGCAATGGTGAAAAACATGGGGCAGTTTTTTAATTGTGTTCTGTGAATCTGGTTTCCAATTTTCTTCCTGTTTTTCCAATGTAGAATTCTGGGCAGTTATGGCATGTTATTTTGTAAATGATGTTGGTATTGTGAGATTAAAAATAATTTTTGTTTAGTAATGATTTTAATTTAGGGCCGGGTTTTTGAGAGAATTTGACGTTGACAGGAATTTTGTGCTTATAATCTGAAAAAAAGGCACTAACATTAAAATTTTAAAAGCTGATAAAGGCAACACCACTGTAATCATGAACAACTTAGAATACATCAATAAGATGAACGACACCCTTTCTGATAAAAAGAAATTCAAAGCCATCCCAAACACACCCGAAAAACAACTAAACAGAACTTTATTACAAATGAAAAAAGATAATATAATTACTGACAATCTTTAATTTTATCTACGTACAACTGATTCACGCACACCACAACTCTTTGGCATTCCTAAACCACACAAACAAGACTGCCCCCTATGACCTATACTGTCCACATATAATTCCTTCAACTACAATCTTGGCAAATACATAGCCTGGGCTCTCACACCATATATAACATCTGCAGGTTCATTTTTTTAAATATGCCTTTAATTTCAAATACACACTAGACCAACTAAATTCTAAAGCCTTGATGGCTAGTTTTGATGTCGTGTCACTCTTCGCCAAAGTCCCCACCAATGAAGCTTGCAATATTGCACTCAACCTCTACATTAATGACCCCAACAAGTTAATCCACATTCCCAGCACACTTTTTGATTCTCTCTTAGAATTTACAACAATTAAAACCAACTTCATTTTCAACAATGAATATTTCCTTCAAATAGATTGTATAAGTATGGGCAATCCTGTTTCACCCATTCTTGCCAGTATATTGATCACCTAGATAGAAACACAAGCCATACATTCTGAGCTTCATCCCCCACTTTACTGGTACAGATACATCGATGACAATTTTGCTAGCTTCACTTCTACAGAACACACGCTAACTTTCTTTGAACGTACAAATTCCATTCATCCCAACATCAAATTTACCATAGAACATGAAAACATTAAACTGTTATCTTCTCTCAACCTCAAGGTCATTACATTGGACACACTGTTTAAAACCAAAATTCACAGTAAGAACACACACACCGGCCTCTACATCCCCTGAAATTCTGCTCATGACACCACACAAAAAATCAATACACTGAAAAACCTCATAAACACAGCCACAAGACTGTTCAATAGACTACATAAATGAAGAAATCAACCACATAAAGCATTCCTTCATTCACACCAATAAATTTCCACCAGCTATTGTTGGAAAACTGTCCAATATTTATCACAACAAAACTCAACTCACAAACAAAATTAATACTAACAAACCCAACAACGGAACATTACACTGCAGTTTACCTTTTGTCTCTGAAACCAGCTCAAGAATAATCCACACTTAAACAAAACTAGCCATTAAACACAAAATGCCTGTCAACATCAAATTCTCTCAAAAACCTAGCCCTAAATTACAGTCGTTACTAAACAAACATTATTTAGAATCACGTAATATCAACGTCATTTACAAAATAACATGCCATAACTGCTAAGAATTCTACATTGGAAAAACAGGAATAAAATTGGATACCAGATTCACAGAACACAATAAAAAAAACTGCCCCATTTTTTTCCACCATTTCAACCCAAAAAACCATAGTATATCTATTGAAAACACAGTAATTTTAAACAAAGAACCAAACATAAACAAACTAAAA